ACTTTTCATATATATCTATTCTAATCTTTTCCAAATACAAGTCACAAGACCCAATCGAGGTAGAGTATTAATTTTTGGTGTCGTAGGCGCTTAAGAAAAAGACAGAAGTGAAATTCATGGAGTTATGCCGGAAAGATAATTGTTATTTCTAGACTTATTGTAGTGATTGCGAAAACATCTTGATCTATCTATCTATCTATCTATCTCAGTCTGTTCAATATCTATCTATCTATCTATCTATCTATCTATCTATCTATCTATCTATCTATCTATCTCAGTCTGTTCAATATCTATCTATCTATCTATCTATCTATCTATCTATCTATCTATCTATCTATCTATCTATCTCAGTCTGTTCAATATCTATCTATCTATCTCAGTCTGTTCAATATCTATCTATCTATCTATCTATCTATCTATCTATCTATCTATCTATCTATAAGGTCTGTCTGTCTGTTCTAATCTATCTATCTATCTATCTATCTATCTATCTATCTATCTATCTATCTATCTATCTCAGTCCGTTTTCTATCTATCTATCTATCTATCTATCTATCTATCTATCTATCTAGCTAGCTAGCTAGCTAGCTCAATGTAGAGTGCTACTGTGTTGTGTTGAATGAGCGTAAGAAAAAGCAAGAAGCGAAGTTCATGGTCTTATGCATGAAATATAACGATTAATCCTCGACTTAAAAAGGTCAAGAGTGTAGCGATCGGGAAAACATCGTATCTGGTTGGTGTCTCTAGCAAATTACATTTTCCATCTATTCCTAAGTTTTTGAAAACCATTTTTTTAAATATAACTTTGTCTAAGCTGTCGCAACTTTTCGATCGAAAACAAATTGATTTGCATTAATTTTATCGGTATTCGCATGTTTTCAAACACCAAATTACATTTTAAAATAACGCTATTTAAGACACCAAAACTGAGTGTAATTGGAGTAAATTGCGTCAATTCAACTATATTTTCAATGTTTTCAGAAGTCTGTGAAATATTTTTTAATATAATTTTGTGTACGTAGTCGAAACTTGTTAAAACCTATAAATTTCAATAAAAAAACATCGATTTTCAATAATTTTAGGGGTTTTCGAATGTTTTCAAATTGAATTACTAAATTACATTTTATTTTAACGTTAAGTTATGAAAAAGTATGGATGTGGCGTAAAATGGCGTTTCCAGCAAATACATTTTCCATGTATTCATAAGTTTTTGATAACCACGTTTTTAAAAATATACCTTTGCGTTGTCCAAAGCAACGGCTCTTGAAAATAAGCTGTCAGATTCGAACTTGCTACTTACTATTGGAATGGGGGTTATTCACACTTATGTACGCTGCATGGTGGGTAACTGCAAGAAGCAAGAAATAGCCAGAAGTGAAAATATCCTGATCTATCTATCTATCTATCTATCTATCTATCTATTAAACTCTTCATATCTATCTAATTATCTATTTTAATGTTTCCCAAATACAAGGCGAATGAGTCAATCACTGTAGGGTGCTACTCTGTGGTAACGCATGTGTTAAGCTTGTACACTTCCGCATCCCAATCCCCCTGAGTAAAGCAGTATTGACCGCTCCGCTGCAAAGGTATCACCCCTGATAATACAGCCCATATACCCCTCATGAAAAAAGATTATTGTTCAGGTCAGAGGTGTTTGAATGTAGCCCGTCAGAGCACATGCCATGGAACTAGCGATAGGTTATCGGGAGCCTCGCAAACTTTAATTAGTGGGTTGAAGGTTGGGAAAATATTTAATCTCTTACTTCGCCTTTTAACCCTATCACAGCAGGCAAGTGTGGACTGGACATCTCCAGCCCATATATGGCAACAATACTCATTTTTTTAAAATAGAACTATAGCAGAGGGAATTAGAGAATTACAGGAAAGGTTCAAGAAGCAACTCCAGCAAAGGCCAGGAAAGATGAGTTCCACTTGAGCTCTTGGGTGAGCTTGAACCACAAGAGACGTTCAAGAACACCGATCCATCAAGATAAGTGAAATTTCGGGGCATAATTGTTGTGGAGTGATTTCACAGTGGAGGCTTGTATTTGTACTAAGTCGGTGCAAAAATAGGTTCGACGTACAAAACGTTAGGAACTTGATATAATAGGCATAACACAGAGAAATCTACTTGTGGTCGCTGATACTTTAGTATTCGACTAACTCTCGTCCGACACCGACTGACTGACCGACCCCATCGTTACTCTTACTACTCCTACTTATTATAGGTGGGAGAGTCTATTAGCTATAGATGAGGTGTGTTCCCCTATAACAATAATGATGGACAATCCAGTCGATTTCGACGTATCAGACAACTTTATTCATTTTTTATGTTTGTCTCGTATGTGACACTTCAGTTCCGCTTGTGACCCGCCTACAAGTCCACATATTATGCAACATAAATTTCGATTTTAAATATCCCACAATGCGTCGATAAGCCGGTAAAATCAAATTCCCTTCTAAATTCGCTGGTTCGTCAGAAGGGGACAGCATCTAATGGCCACCAAGTTTACCTGACCTAACATCAATGAATTTCTTTTTGGGGTGTGTAGAAAAGAACAAGGTTTATAAGAGAAATCTTCACACAGAGGCCGAATTCAAAAATTACATTTCAGAAGTATTTTTTGAAATTGATGCAGATCAGGATTTGTGTCGTGCTATATGTCATAGTGTTCTGGAGAAGTTCGAGTTGCAATGTTGAAGGGGGATATTTTGAGCACTTTGAGATTTAAACTGCTAAAAGAATGTAAGTAAACAGTTAAATGTACATGAATAGTCTTAAACAAATATGATAAAAACAAGTAAATATAAATGTAATAAAATGTTTTTAAAAAATGTATACGCAGAGGCAGAGAGTTCGACCGTCAAGCCGAGAAGCTCGGCTTGATTCGGTATCTAGCTCCCCACCCGTATAACCGTATAACCCGTATAAACGGGATCGGGTTGGTCAAACTCCCCGAACGAGACTCTGCCCTTCGGCGGAGCCTCGTCCGGGTTTCTCTCTGCTCAGAGGCAGAGAGTTCGACCGTCAAGCCGAGAAGCTCGGCTTGATTCGGTATCTAGCCACCCACCCCGAGGGTTGCATGTGGCACAAGGCCGAGTTTAACGTGGGTTTTCCGAGCCCGTAGGCTCGTCCAAAAAATGCCCGTAGAACCCGTATAAACGGGATCGGGTTGGTCAACCTCCCCGAACGAGACTCTGCCCTTCGGCTTAGCCTCGTCCGGGTTCCTCTATGCTCAGAGGCAGAGAGTTCGACCGTCAAGCCGAGCTTCTCGGCTTGATTCGTCCCTCTCTCTTGAGAGGCGTAGTATACATAGTGTTAGGAAGAGTTCATTCTGTATTTATAGGTAAGGACCCATGACAGTACTGATAGCAGACATAGAAAAGAAATTACAAAACCTCCTACAGAACGTAGCAAAGGAGAGCAAGAAGAAAGGACTAAGCATAAACGAAGACACAATGCATGGTCACCAGTAAAAGGATGAGCCCGAAATGCGATTTACAGGTCGGAGACTCTAGAATCAAGCAGATGCGGAAGGTTGAATATCTGGCAAGTATTTTGATGGAAAACGGTATGTGTGACGCTGAGATCTGAAGACGTATTAGGATGGCCAAGGACGTATTCCAAAACCTGGCCAGAGTATTACAAGACAGGAAGATTTGTTTGGCATCAAAAAAAGAGTACTGAGCCGCTACGTGACATCTGTCTCCTCAAAGATGAAGAAGAGACTCGAGGTAACGGAGATATGGATGGTAAAGATATCATGGATCGAGCGTGTGAGCAACAATGAGGTCTTGAAGATGATGCAAACAAGGAGGAAGCTTATACTAAACATCAGGAAGAGGCAGATGAAATTTCTAGGACACGTAATGAGAAAGGAGGGCCTGGAGAATTTGATACTCGCAGGTCGAATAGAGGAAAAGAGAGACAAGGAAAAGCAACGCATTATATACCTGGCGGGCGTAAGCAAGTGGATAACAGGACGTTGTCTGGGGGGGGGTGGCAGTAGTAGGGGAGCTACAAGAGATAGGAGGAAGTGGAGAGCCATGACCGCCTACGCCCTCAAAGGACACGGCACATAAAAGGAAAAGAAGGATATGCATACCCTTCTAAGTGTAAGCCTACTTTTGGCCCACCCAACATAAGGAGGCACAGTGGTTCTACCCCTGACACTGCTAATGTTACCATGGCATGGGTCCGTGAAAGGTTTGGGGGGTGCCTCATCAGTCGTAAAGCTGAAGTGGAAAAAACACCTAACTTTGTTGAACTGACCCCCCCCCATTTCTTCCCCTAGGGCTTCCTCAAGGACAACATCTACCCCAGGGCAACCCCCGCACTATTGCTGTACTGAAGGCAACCATCACTGAGGAGATTCAGGCAATCACCCAGTAGTGCCTTCAACTGAATGGCGGACATCTGGAGATGGAGATAGACATCTGTATGGCGGACATCTGGAGATAGAGATGTACATTTGAATGGCGAACATCTGGGGATGGAGATAGGCATTTGAATGGCGGACATCTGGAGATAAAGATGTGCATCTGAATGGCGGACATCTGGAGATGGACATCTGTATGGCGGACATCTGTATGGCGGACATCTGGAGATGGAGATGGAAATCCAAATGGTGGACATCTGGAGATGGAGATGGGCATCCGAATGGCGGACATCTGGAGATGGAGATGGACATCCGAATGGCGGACATCTGGAGATGGAGATGGACATCTGAATTGCGGACATCTGGAGATGACGGTTCCGAATAGGATACAGGTTCGATTCCTGTCAGAGCACATATTTTGTATGAAAATCTCTCGGACGTTTTGGCCGGTAAATGTTGTTAATACTGTTTATTATAAACAGAGCATTTACTTAAATATTTGTGTCTATATAAATAACGTATAACAATAAAATATCTTCATATATATATATATATATATATATATATATATATATATATAGGGTGAAAGAATTCAAAAGATAGTGTCAAACAAGGACA